TTCCCTTCCCTTCCCTTCCCTCCCCCCCCCTCCCCTCCCCCCCCCTCCCCTTCCCTTCCTTCCTTTTATTTTCTTCCCTTCCCTCCCCTTTTGATTCCCTTTGTGTTCTCCCATCCCCACCTTGCCCCCAGACTATCTTGGTCTGACGTACATCCATGCCTTTCTTCCCCAACACAGCTTACATGTTAGAGGCACAGGCTGTGGTATTTTATAGCTCTCATCTGAGTTCCTTACTCTGTTACTTTGGTCCCATTACCTAACCTTCCAGTTTCCTCTTTTGTGAAATAAGCTAGTAATACCCTTATCTTGGGCTGCTTTACAAAATGAATCAAGTGAACACATATTTATCAGAGGATCCAATACATGTTGGGGGTCCTATCTCTGGGAGTTGATTATCCCTACTTTTTTCCTCTAAGTCCTTGAAGCCCCCTCATATCTACCAGTGAAAAACCTATCTGGCTCCCATCAGGGTGCTGCAAGACTATCAGGTAAAACCCTGAATGGGGAATATTGCTTGTGTTAAAAGTATGTACAACTCTAAAGGGACATTGCTGTTTGTTGTCATTGAAGTGGAAGGAAATTCTCAAGGTTCTCTCTGTGCTTTCACCTGGACCTTCATCTTGACTTCTGATAGCAATTCCAAGTAACTGCTGTGTTGTGTGCACTGCATGGGAACAAACACCCATCTCTGGCTGAGGCCAGTGGTGTAGGAATGTGGTACAGCATAGAGGTTTTCTCAGTATTTTGGAAAGACAACAGATAGAACTAAGGAGAGTTCTAGGTTAGTGGTTAAGTGTATGGACTCTGGAGTCAGAGTACCAGATTCTTTTCCTGACCTCAACACTCACTAGCCAGCTGAGTGACCTTGGTCAAGTTATAACACCTCAGTGACTGACTGTATTACTCTGAAAATGGGGATTGGAGTGCCCATTCCTTGTGCTGCTGTAAAGGGTAAATGCATTAGAATTAAATCTGCATACCTAGCTAAGCTGGTCGACAATCCCTCCAAAAATAGTCTCTGTAGGGGACCAGAAGTACCAGCCAAGGAATCCAGGGGCAGGCACAGTAAGGGTATGGGAAGAATCTGATTGCTAAGTGACAGTGAGAGCAGGATTGTTGTTGGGTGTGGGGTTGTCCATTTCTCTAGTTGTCTGAGGGCCCAACTTTCTCCCAGTCTGTGCATTATGAATGATGACTGTGAGGAATACCAAGACCAAAGAAACTCAGAACACCTTCTCCTTTCCGGTACCCACACCCTTCTCAAACTGCATGCCCACCATCTCCCAGAAGCAGCAGGAAATGATGCAGGTTTTCTGCACTCAGTCTTGGACAAACCTCCTGTGATCTCAGAAGTGAGTGCTTAGAGTCTCAAGGATAAGAGGGAGCTAGGAGAAATGAAGGAATGGATAATAGGAACTTGAAGTTACTTTGTATAAAATAACTATTTGGATGCTGTACTTCCAAAAAAAGTAAGCTCATGAAAAAGGTATATTAATTTTACTGTGAAATATGTAAATAATTTAAAAATAATATTATGTTGAGATGACATGAGCATGTATATGTAAAGTCCTAAGGAAACTACCAAAACAATATTAGAATTAATAAATAAGTTCGGCATTGTTTCTGGATACAAAATAAATATACAAGAGTAACTTTTGTTACTATACACTAGTAATAAACAATCAGAAAATGAAATTAAGAAAACATTCCATTTATAGTAGCATCCAAAATAACATACTTAGGAAATAGACCCATAAATACAGAAAACAAATTGATGTTTACCAGAAGAGAGGGGATGGAGGATGAGCAAAATGGGTAAAGAAGAGTGGGAGGTATAGGCTTACAGCTGTGGAATGAATAAGTCACAAGGATATAAGTTACAGCACAGGAAATATAGTCAATGGTATAGTAATAGCATTGTATGGTGACAGATGGTAACTACACTTATGGTGAGCACAGCATAACGTATAGACTTATTGAATCACTATATTGTACACCTGAAACTAATGTACAATTGTGTGTCAACAATACTTCAGGAAAAAAAATTTAAATAACATACTTAGGAAACAAATTTAATAAAATAAATGCAAAATATATACTCCAAAAATCTGTAAAACATTATTGAAGTAAATTTTAAAAGACCTAAATAAGTACAAAGTATATCATGCTCCTGAATCAGAAGACTTACGATTGTTAAGATGGCAATACACCCCAAATTAATATACAGATTCAGTGCTACCCATATCAAAATCTCAGCTTGTTTCTTTACAGAAATTGATGAGTTAATACTAAAATTCATATGAAAATCCAATGAACCCAGAATAGACAAAATGTTCTTGAAGAATAAAGTTGGGAGACCCATACTTCCCTATTTTAAACCTTACTACAAAGCTAAAGTTATCAATACCATATGGTACTGCCTTAAAGATAAACATATAGTTTAATGTAATAGAATTAAAGTACACACACACACAAACATACACACCCTCACCTTTATGAACAATTTATTTTCAACCAGAGTTCAAAAAATATTCAGAGTAAAGAATAGTCTTTTCAACAACTGGTTAAAAAAATAACTGGATATCCACCCACAAAATAATTAATTTGTATCCCTATCTCACACCATGTACAAGCATAAATCACCATAAAAATCTTAAAAGCGGTGTCTGTGCCCACTGGCCCTCTGTTCCATCCTGCAGCTACCCACTGCCTTCTCACCACCCACCATGGCTGTGCTGCACTCCAGCCATGTTCTGTCTGAGGTTGCCACCACCTTCCACTGAGGCCTTGCTGCTGTGACTTCTGCCAGAGCCAGCTCCTGGTGGACCCGTGTTGGGATGGGGCCCCCAGATCCCATCCTGGGAGTCACATAAACCTTTAAGAGAGGTGTCAACAGCAAAAAAAAAAAAAAAAATGGTAGTTGGTGCCTACTGAGATGATAACGGAAAGCCTTATGTGCCTTATAGTGTTCAGAAGGCAAAGGCCCAGATTACTGCCAAAAAATTTGACAAGGAATACCTGTCCATCGCAGGATTTGGTAAATTTTGTAAGGCATCTGCAGAACTAGCCCTGAGTGAGAACAATGAAGTGTTGAAAAGTAGCTGGTATGTCACCATACAGACCATTTCTGGAAATGCGGCCTTGATGATTGGAGCCAGTTTTTTGAAAAGATTTTTTTAAGTTAAGCCAAGATGTCTTTCTGCCCAACCATCTTGGAGAAATTACACACCCATCTTCAGGGATGCTGGTGTGCAATTACATGATTATCAATACTAAGGCCCCAAGACATGCAGCTGTGACTTTATAGGCACTATAGAGGACATTTTGAAAATGCCACAGCAAAGTGTTCTCCTTCATGCTTGTGTCCACAGTCCAGGAGTGGACCCTTACCCTGAGAAATGGAAGGAAGCAGCAACAGTGATGAAGAAAAACAATTTCTTTGTGTCGTTTTACATGTCCTACCAAGGCTTTGCCAGTGGTGATGGCAAAAATATGCCTGGGCTGTATATCACTTCATCTTCATCAAACAGGGAATTACTGTTTGTCTCTGCCAATCCTATACCAAGAACATTGGCTTATACAGTGAGCATGTGGGAGCCTTCATTGTGGTTTGCCAAGATGCTGTGAGGCCAATCACAAATGAAGATCTTGATGCATCCCATATATTCCAACCCTCCAATCAATGGGACCCAGATTGCTTCAACTATCCTGACCAGTCCTGACCTGCAAAAACAGTGGTTGCAGGAAGTAAAAAGCATGGGCCATCACATAATTTGCATGGAAATTCAGCTGGTCTCCAACCTCAAAAGGAAGACTGCCCCCAACTGACAGCGCATTACTGACCAGATTGGTATGTTTTGTTTCACAGGACTAAAACCTGAACTGGTTTAGAGGCTGAACAGGGAGTTCTCCATCTACATGACAAAAGATGGCTGCATCTCTGTGGCAAGGGTCACCTTGCGCAACGTGGGCTATCTTGCCCATACCATTCAACAATCAAGCATTGAATGCATTTCTCAGAAAAGGACATGGAATAAAGTAGGGCAGAGGCATCTGTAGATGGTGTCTGAAACTTTGTGGCTTAAAACCAAACTCCTGCTCATCCTTTAACTTAAGCTGTTCCAAAAGAGTTTACATGTACAATAAAGACAGAGCCCAAAAAACCTCTTGATTATGTCATTGCAATATTTCAGAAGTTTTAACTGAAGCACCTTATAGTGTTGGGGGTACCTCTGTAGAACCAGCATGAGAATAGCATCTACAAGAAGATTTGGGGGAAAGACCTAGTTCTAATATTAGCAGTCAGCCTTGTATTTGTCCTTCTGTGATTGAGCAAACTTATCAAAAGACCTTGTTACAGAAATCTTGTTTCATGAAAACCAGTAAGTCTGCGGCCACTGCAGCGAGGAAAATAAAAGATGCTGTTTCTTGTCTTAAGAAAAAAAACTTTTCTTTTTAATACTTTCAGGCATTTTATTGTTCCCCTCTTCTCCCTTATTATTGCTGTTCTTTTCTTTAGGCACAGAGATCTATAACTAGCCTAGATTCTCATCCTATTCTACTGCACGATTGGCCCTCAACCCCATCCTATATGATTTACTTATTTGAGGAAAAAAGAACATAACTTACCACTCATCCCATACCCTCACCTTTCTCATCAGAGAATAGCAGAGAGTAGGTAACTACACTTTACTTCAACATCCTCTACAATGATTTTTTTTATTGTCTCCTGTCAGGATGTCACCTCTGCCCATTTGGAACTTTTACTTCGTTCAGTGTGGTTGTGCATCTCATATCATGAGCAAGAGATGCAGGGCCCAACAAGGAAAGAGGATATCTGGGCTTTGGATTTAACCTTTGTGTACTGCCAGCTGGGCTCACACTTCACCCTTTGGAAAGATAACCACCATCTGCTCCAATAATGTAAACTTATTTCAGCCTTGTTTCTCTCTGTTAAAATAAAGCTATTGCAGACCCCAAAAAAGTCTTAAAAGAGGGGTTCCTGGCTGGATCAGTCTGCAGAACATGCAACTCTTCATACCAGGGTCATGAATTCAAGCCTCACATTGGGTATAGAGTTGACTTTAAAAATTTTTTAAAAGAAAATATAAGGGTAAATTCTTTGTGCCCTTAAATTAGGCCAACAGTTTGTGACATATAATGCCAAAAGCACAAAAAGAAAAATTGGATCAATTGGACTTCATCAAAATATGTATTTTTTTCACATCAAAGGACGCTATAATAAAGTGAAAAGACAACCCACAGAATCAGAGAAAATATTTGCAAATCATATATCTGATAAGGAATGTGTATCCAGAATAAATAAAAAAATAAACTCTTAGAATATAAAAAAGAAAAGTAGCCCTGTTAAAATGGTCACAGATCTCAGTATACATAAAAAAGACATGAAAATAATCAAAGGGCACATGGAAAGATACCTAACATCATTAGTCATTTGGGAAATACAAATCAAAATAAAATGAGATACCATTTCACACACTAAGATGGCTACAAATTGTTAAGTGAAAATAAATGTTGGCAAAGATGTGGAGAAATTGGAGCACTCATATATTGCTGGTAGGAATGGAAAATGGTGTAGCAACTATGAAAAACAGTTTGGCAGTTTCTCCAAATGTTAAACATGTGTTGAATAGACATTTTTCCAAAGAAGACACCCAGATGGCTAGCAGGCACATGAAAAGATGCTCAACATTAGTCATCATTGGGGAACTACAAATGAAAATCACAATGAGGTGCTACCTCACACTGTCAAAATGGCTAAAATTAACAATATAGGAAACAACAGATGTTGGTGAGGATGTGGAGAAAGAGGGACTTATACTGGTGGTGGGAATGCAAATTGGTGTAACCACTCTGGAAAACAGTATGGAGGTTCCTCAAAAACTTAAAAATAGAGGTACCCTACAACCAAGCAATTGCACTCTTAGGTATTTACCCAAACAAAGGATACAAAAATATCAATTCTAAGGGGACACATGCACCCTGATGTTTATAGTAGCATTATCAACAAAAGAGAAATTATTAAAAGCCCAGATGTCCACAGAATGATGAATTAATAAAGAAGATATGGTATATATACACATGTATCATGGACTATTACTCAGCCATCAAAAGGAACGATAGCTCACCATTTGCAATGATGTGGATGGAGCTAGAGAGTAGTATGCTAAGTGAAATTAGAGAAAGACAAATACTATATTATTTCACTCTTATATTGAATTTAAGAAACAAAACAGATAAACAAATGGGATGGGGGGATGATAGACGGGAACAAACCATATGAGACTCTTAAAGATAGAGAACAAACTGAGGGTTGCTGGATGGGAAGTGGGCATGGAATTTGCTAAATGGGTGATGGGTTTTAAGAAGGGCACTTGTGATGAACACTGGGTGTTATATGTAAGTGATTAATCACTAAATTTTACTCCTGAAACCAATATGTTAATAGAAGTTAAATAAAAAATTGAAACAAAAATATTTAAATATGTGATTACCATGTGACCCAGAGAGTCCACTACTAGAGAAATAAAAACATATTTTAACACGAAAACATGTACAGAAACATTCAGGGTCACCTGGGTGGCTCAATTGGTTGAGGGTCCAACTTTGACTCAGGTCATGGTCTTGCAGTTTGTGAGTTGGAGCCCTGCATCCAGCTCTCTTCCCTCAACATAGATCCCACTTTGGGTCCTCTGTCTCCCTCTCTCCCTGCACCCCCTCCCCCACCTCCTGTTCTCTTGCTCTCAAAAATAAATAAACATTAAAAAAATATTCATAGCAGCATTATTCAATTAGCCAAAAAGTGGAAACAACCCAAACATCCATCAATTTATGAATAAATGAATAAAATGTGATATATTCATACAATGGACTATTATTCAACAATAAAACATAATGGAGTTTTCATACATGTTTGTACATGGAAGAACCTTAAAACAATTACGCTAAATAAAAGAATCCAGGAACAAAGACCACATATTATGTGAGTCCATTTGTCTGAAATGCCCAAATAGACAAATCCATTGAGATGGATAGCAGAATAATGATTACAGTATTGGGGCACCTGGGTGGCTCAGTTAGTTAAGTGTCTGACTCTTGATTTCAGCTCAGGTCATGGTCTCAATGTTCATAAGATCAAGCCCCATGTGACCTGCTTGGGATTCTCTCTCTCTCTTTCTGCCACTACCCCACTCCCGCTCTCTCTCGAAATAAACACTTAAAAAGTACTAATAGTAATAATAATAATGATGATGATGATGATTACCAGCGTCCAGGAAAAAGGAGGACTAGGAAGTGACTGCTAGTGAGTAAGGAGTTTTATTTAAGGTGATAAAAAAAATGCTTTGGTATTAGATTGTGGAATTGTGATTATTACAAAATCTTGTGAATATACTGGAAAGACCTTGAAATAACTGTGCTTACTTCACCTTAAAATGGTGAATACAATATGTACATTATAACAATTTAAAAGTGATTATAAAATTATATTTTTAAATGTTGATTTGTTAATTTTTTATTGTCTTTATTTTTATTAAGCTGTTTTTTAAACAACTCTATTTTTGAATTTTCGTGGGCATGGAACTTAGTGATAGACATTTTCACTAGGTCTTTCTTCATTATAACACATAGTGCACATACTGGTACATATGTCCTGGCAAAAAAAAAAAAAAGTGACATAGATTTAGTACTGCATGGTCAGCATCTCTCTACTATGTTACTAATGGAGATCACCTGTTCTCCCACTCCAGGTGTCTTCAGGACAATGAGTGGAACTACACCACAGCTGGTCAGGTCTTCACTATGCTCAAGGTGAGGTTTGGGAATCACTAAGTGGGTTATAGATGAGTGTTTCTGGATTTTCAGGAAAGCTAAGAAGGTGGAGGCTGGGTGGCCTGGGAATGAAACTCTGGGATCTGGCTCTTCTGATGTCTCAACTCCTTCCCTTCAGAACAAGGGAAAGATCCCAGAGGAAGCCTTCAAACTAAGGTTTGGATGTCCACAATATCTTTGTTCTCTTTTCTCCAGCCAAAGGCCATTATTCATTTGTATTTATTGTGCATTTTGTATTTTGTTATTATTTTATGAATATATATGTTACACATATATGTGTTTGTGTAAATATACGAGTACCTAATATAGCAATGCTCAGACAAAAGAGGTAATAATCAACAGGGACCACAAGGACATGGGTAAAATAAAATGGATCACAGGTCCAAGCAGTTGATGTCAGGCATGCACCCTCTGAAAACAACCAGGACCAGTCAAACCTAGGATATCACTAATCCAGGGCACAGCTTAGAGCATTTACCTTCCAGTAGCATCAAATAAAGGTCCAGAAGAAGCCATTTGAGTTCTATTCTAGGAACCTTTTCTCCAGTGCTACAGGGCCAAATATGCCACCACTGCCACTTGCCTCCCCATCCCACCCTCCAACCATTCATGTGCCCAAAACTTCATAATAAGAGAATGATTGCGTGCATGGCAAGGCCATTGTGAAAAGCTGTGCTTTCTCAACAAGACAGTCAGAGGGTAGTGAACTAGGCAATGACAGGTGTAGATGGGTCCAATGAGGATGGCCAGACCAATTATATATATATATATATATATATATATATATATATA